CGGTGGCTCTAAAGTGCCACTTGAGTCACTTCGTCGAAAATCGTAAAAATGTCATTCCTAAGAGCATCCACTATCGTTGCTGTAAACAGCCTCGGTACTGTAAATTTGACTGAAATTTACCGTACCGAGGCCAAAAATCCCCAATCGTGTACAAAGTACAGATCGGTAGCTACAGATTCGGTCAAAAATCTGTAGAGGTCCAGTAAATCTACTGCACCTCTACAGAATCTGTACCGAATCGGTATCCACCAAATCTACCGATTCTACATAGGGATTCATCACCACCTTCCCAAAATCACCCTCTACTATCCTTCAATCTCTATCACCCTCTCATCGATCAACTCTTTCATCTTCTCATCGATCAAATTTTTCATCTTCTCATCGATCAAATTTCTTGCCTTCTTGTCAATCAACCATTTCAACCAATCTTCTCAATAATCGACTTGATCAAATCAAAGTGACTTCATCAAATGAACATCTTGTGCTATTTTTTTGCTTTTTTTGATTGTCCTTGTTGTTGTACAATCGTCCATCAGACAATGATGGATCCTTGAGGTCATTCATCAGACCATGATGGATCTCAGCATCTCGTAAATCTAGATACTTTGAGACTATCCATGTTTCTGAGCCAAGGTCAATAGCTTGCAGATTATTTACTGAATGTACAATTCTCTATGATTGTGGGGCAGGGTCATTTCTGTACGGTACGTACCGTACAGAACGATATTACTGAAACGATAGTGGATTTCCACCTTTCTGTACCTAAATTTACTGTACTGTGAAATCTGTACTGTAAAATTTACTGAAATTTTACTGTAACGATAGTGGATGCTCTAATCAAAAAAAGGCCCCGCTGAACAAGTGCCGGCCGTGCCCGACCTGCACGGCCATTCTTGAAGATACACCGACCTCATCATCAACCACCTGGACCAAGGCTAAATCAATAATCAAGTGTCATGAACAACTATGCAATCGATCCGATAATTAAGAATGATTATAAAAGCTTGGATGTATTTGATTTGATGAGATCATAGCCGAGTTGTTTTGTTTCCCGTGCTTTTCTCATAATGAGTCTTTATCTTTGTTGACCTTGTATGGACCTCACATTTTTGTTCACAGATCTAGCATAGCATACTTGAGATTCGGTGATTGAGATGCACTTCGCTAGATGTTCCGATCAAAATTAAACAATCATAGCATGGATAATTTGACATCTAGTTCTAGATACAAGAGGTTCATCCTTGGTGGACGGTGATCTGGATCAAAGTAATAGCAAAGTGTCGATGGTTTGCCAACAATAGGCAAAAAAGATAACAAAAGAACAAAGCCAAGCTTATTGTGCAAGTCCCTTGTGCCTCGGGTTTGGGTTACCGTGAGGTCCTGCACGATCGGACTTGGGTTAAGTTAGGGCCCAACAGGGCTTTGGGGGAAGTTTCAGATGTAATTTTTGCATTTAGAGGTTTTGACTCAAGTGGCACTTTAGAGTAGGGCTGCGACCCGGCCCTGAAGTTTCAGGGCCGGCCCCGGGGCGCGGCCCGGCCTCGATGAAACCCGAGGGCTCTTCAGAATGGCTCAGGGCCAGGCAGGGCGCGCCCTCCTATATAGGCCTCGGGGCCAGGCAGGGCCACGGTCAGGTCTCAGTGAGGAAACCACTATACGATGAAGGTCACATGCACATTTTGACCG